CTCTAATGGCTTATCCCAAAGAGAGGGGACCTATCTGAAATAAGGAGAAGAACACTACTACAAAATCCTCTGCATAAAAAGCACTTTGCATGTTGATCTGTTGTGGATTTCCATAATGGTCTCTGTCTGTGGCAAAGAGAAGTTTCCTTGATTAGGGATGAGGAAATATCAGGAGCTGCACCCTTGAAGTCTCACCAACATGGCTGCCTAACATGACCTGAACAAAGTTGACACCGGTAGATGTGCTAACGTGGATGGGAGTTTGGGGGAGCTCATGATGCCTCAATCCTAGACAAAGAACTACAGGCAACTAAGGGATGATGAAACCTGGGGAAATGCCCCTCTGCACAGGGAAGAACATACCACTTGGTTATCCAATATCAAATGGTTATCCCAGAAAACATCATACAAATGACATTATACAAACTAAACAGGTTGTATTTATGTGTTTAAGGACACACACACACACACACACACACACACACACACACACACACACGTAACAACAATTAATTAAAAAGAGGCCATGAGCTTGAAAAAGAGCAAGAGGGGTTCATGGGAGGATCTGGATGAAGGAGAGGGAAAGAGAAAATGATGTGCTTCTATATTTTTTTTAAAACCTTCCTGTTTTTATAGACTAGCGCTGGCAGCTTTGGTCAGAGAAGCTTTTGTCTTCCATAGCGAGTGATGACTGCAGACTTCTGACCATCCAAGAGCTGGAAATAAGTGACTACTGACTGCTTAGCCCTAAACAGGACATCTATATTACCTCCTCCAAGCCTCGGGGAATATCACAGAAGCCGAGGATCGGGTTGAGTGTTGTGGCTCTCCAGCTGTCTCCAGGCTGACATGGCAGTGGCATTCTTAAATACACGACAGCAATGGTTATCTGCACAAGACCTGCCCGAAATGGGTCTGGCGTGGAGAGGGGAAGAGACTCAAGAGCCCCCGCCTCTTCCTGAGGATCTATAGGATGCTAACAGTTGCTGGGTGAGGAAGAGACATGGGCTTCAGTGGTGTGGCTACTTAGGGTGCCCATGCTCTTGTAAATAATGCTCACCCGTGTTCTCACAATCAATCTTAATGAAACTCAGAGGTCACCAGGAAAAAAAGTATGAAAGTGAAAGTGGAGGGGGTAGTTAGGAAGAGGACTGACAGGTGTGGGGGGCAGACAAAAGTAGGGTGATGAGGGATAAATATGATGAAGATACATTACATACATGTCTGAAAGTGCCATCATGAAACACAATATTATAGATACATGCTTGCCGTGGGATGTTCTGTATGGCAAATCTGTTGCTGATTGGTCAATAAATAAAACACTGATTGGCCATTGGCTAGGCAGGAAGTGTAGGTGGGACAAGGAGGAGAATAAAGCTGGGAAGTGGAAGGCTGAGTCAGAGAGACACTGCCAGCCACCATGATGAGAAACAGCATGTGAAGATGCCGGTAAGCCACAAGCCATGTGGCAAGGTATAGATTAATAGAAATGGATTAATTTAAGCTGTAAGAACAGTTAGCAAGAAGCCTGCCACGGCCATACAGTTTGTAAGCAATATAAGTCTCTGTGTTTACTTGGTCGGGTCTGAGCGGCTGTGGGACTGACAGGTGAGAGAGATTTGTCCTGACTGTGGGCCAGGCAGGAAAACTCAAGCTACACATGCTAATAAAATAGTCTTTAAAAATCTCACATGGATCCATTCCTTAGATAATGTGAATAGTGTAGCAATTAACATGCACAAAAAGAAGGAGGAGGAGGAGGAGGAAGAGGAGGAGGAGGAGGAGAAAAAGGAGGAGGAGGAGGAGGAGAAAAAGGAGGAGGAAGATTTATTCTGGCCAATGGTTCCAGAAGCGTCAGTCTAGTTGTGTGAGTTACTCCCTCCTTGCCATGCCAGTATGTAGATGTAACCAACCGTCTTATTAAATAAGAAACACAGAGCCGATTCAGAGAAGAAAGCCAAGAGGTCAGAGCTAAGAGCCTCACCCTTCCTGCTTCAGCGATCCTCTTCAGTCAAGAGAGCTCTCCGAAAAGGGACCTACTTCCTGTGTATATGTCTTTATATAGTCTAGCTGTTCTGCCTTCTCATTGGTTGTAAACCCAAACACATGACTGCCTCGTCACTGCCTGTATGTACCGCCCTCCAGGTCCTTAAAAGCGTGCGCCACCGCCGCCACACACTTGCTATGGCTCTAATAGCTCTGACCCCCAGGCAACTTTATTTATTAACATACAATTAAAATCACATTTCAGTACAAGTAAAATACCACCACACCAGTACTATATTTACAGACTGTGCATATGATTATCTGATTTAGTCGCCCCCCTCCCACCCATGAAGTGGACACCTCACGCCATTATACAAGAAATAAACTAGGGTTTCTAGATGGCAAACAATGAGTTAAGTGGGCAACTTGAACATCTGTGTGAGCACAGCTGGTTCTGATGTCCTCAGTATCCATGGTCAAGAGTCAACCAATGTTGGATTGAAAACACTTCCAGAAAAGGAAGCTGCGTGTGTACTGAGTATGGAAAGCCCTTTTCCTTGCTATTAGATCCTAAACAAGCAATATACCTACCACTCACATGGCTTTTACACCAATTATAGCACTGTATGGGTGCTATCATTAATCTGAAGTATAGGAAGGGCTGAGGTGGTGAGTCACACCATAGAGGCTGAAACAGGGGGACTGCTGCAAGTTCCAGGCCAGCCTGGTCCATTCAGAGAGTTACAAGCCAATCAAGGCTACATAAAGTAACTCTGTTTCAAATGGTAATAATAACAACTATATATATTATTATTATATATATTAGGGACCAGAGACTGCTCAGCTGGTTACGTGCTTCCTGTACAAGAACAAGGACCTGAGCTTAGCCCCCAAAACCACGGAAGGAAGAGAGAAAGCCAGAGTGGCCGGTGAATGCTTGTAATCCCAAGAGCCGGAGAGGCGGCAGGCAAATCCCTGCAGCTAGCCAGCCTAGCCTCCTTGCTAAGTTCCAGGCTGGTGGAAGACCCTATCAAATACATTAAACAGGCAGGGCAACTGAGGCATGACATCCAAAGCTGCCCTCCACACTCACGTGCACTTGAATTTAAACACACACACACAAACATGCATGTGTACACACACATAGAGACACACATGCAATAATAATGATAATAATAATAATAATAATAATAATAATAATAATAATAATAAGGATGGGGAGGATGTGCACATATTCTATGTAAATATATTACTTACAAAAGGATTTGATCATTCATGGGGCATCCGGAGCCAGTGTTCCACACATATCCCTATTACAATAAAATGTCCACATATTTAAAACTCCTCTTCCTAAGACTTGTGGTGAGTGGAATTCAGACCAGCACGTCCTAATTCCACGGGCTTTGTCTAGCTAATCATCCCCATCCCTTTCACTCCTCACCAGAAGGCTATTCAGCCAGCACCATTCCAAATATTTACTCTCCCCAGAGTGGAGAGGCTGTCCTCCCATGCTTCCTCACTCAACCTTGGAGTGCCTGGCACGCCAGCCCTCAGTAATTAGAAACTACCTTCATTAAAATCTGCTGCTCAGTGAATCATCTGTTCATTCATGGAACAGCTCGGGCTTCTTCAGCAGCTCTGCTCTGCCCTCAGGGTCCAGCAAATGCCAAGCAGTAGGCAGCCCTCGGTACGGTCCCTTTGGTCAGCCCGGCTGGGACACCTACACAAATACTTCAGGGGTGCAGACCTGCCCCTCCGGCTTCCTCAAAGAGGAGCGGTAATCTGACATTCCTGCTGCTGCTTGCTAGTCCCAAAGGGACATTTTCCCTAAGGAGTCATTTGAGAAATGCCTGATCCACAAGGGTTTGAAGTTTTCCAATAACGCGGTCCCCTGAGCTTCCGTTCTGCAGTTGGATAGAGTGCCAACCCAGGGGAACACCAGGAGGTGTGTGGGGCTACATGAAACCCTCCCCTACTGTATTTATCTCAGCAAGTTCATAGACAGTAGTTTTTTTTTTTTTTTTTTTACACAGGGTTTCACATATGTAGCCCAGGGTGTCTTGAACTCACGTTGAACTTCTGATCCTCCTGCCCCTACCTCCTAAGTGGTAGAATTATAGGCACTATACTTGGTTGATGGGGATTGAGAACAGGGTTTCGTGCAACTGAGCTATCCACCCACCCACCCCACCCCTGTCCCAGCACACACACACACACACACACACACACACACACACACACACACACACACACGTGTATTGGTTTCCTAATTGGTTTAAGATCCTTGTTCACTCCATATCCATTCTCATTACTCAGTAACTGGAGACAGCCACCTCTGTGGAGTTTTGTTTTTTTTTTATAGCATTTCACTGCCATTTTATTTTCCTAAAATGTCAGTTGGCCAGCCAAGGACATTTCCCCCTAGAGTCCTTGAAGATTGTTTTGAGCTGAAATAACTATCACGGTCAGCTGAGCACTAAATGAAAAATGGTGTTATATGTCAAATTAATATTTCAGGAAAGAAAATGTACAACACCCCCCCACTGGCACGTCCACTGCAGGGTGGGGCGCGGGGGGAATTTCTAACACTAGCAATAAAATCACAGGATGACAGCCAGTAGCCCAGAGCCTCACATGGCCTCAAAGGGGGCCCTGAAGTCAGAGGGGAGAGAAGGAATCACGCAATGGTGACCAGGGTCTCTCTTTGCCAGCATGGCAGACTGGAGGGGCCCAAGAGGGCAAGAGTGGTGTCATCTGTAAGTTGGATTCATTTTGTGAGAGGGCTGCTGGGTGAGAAGAAACCATAGCTGAATGAAGCCTTTAAGAAAACCTAAATTGTAGAAGAAGGATGATCCAGCCTGGTGGTGGTGGCGAATGCCTTTAATCCAGCATTGGGAGGCAGAGGCAGGTGGATCTCTGAGTCCAAGGCTAGCCTGGTCTACAGAGTGAGTTCTAGGCTAGCCAAGGCTACTCAGAGAAACCCTGTCTCAAAAAGAAGGAGGAGGAGGAGGAGGAGGAGGAGGAGGAGGAGGAGGAGGACGACAGATGATCTAAGATCTCTCAGCTTGGCCAAAGCAAGTAACAAACCGAACGTACAATCCTATCCAACTTTTTAAAGTATATGAGAAACAGAGCACACAAAGGAGTGTCAGGGTTCCTTAAACACAGTTATCTAGAGAATGTTCTGGAAAGTGGTGGTGGTTTGAATAAGAATGGATCCCATAGGCTCATGTAGTCACCAGGAAGTGGAACTATTTGACAAGATTATAACGAATAGGAGGTGTGGCCTTGTTGGGGGAAGTGTGTCACTGGGGGTGGGCTTTGCGGTTTCAAGCTCTTGCCAGGCCCAGGGTCTCTCTCTCTCTTCCTGCTCCCTACAGACCAGGATGCAAAACTCAGTTACTTCTCCAAGCACCATGTCTGCCTGCATGCCACCATGCTCCCTGCCATGATGATAATGGACTGAACCTCTGAAACTGTGAGCTGCCAGCCCATTAAATGTTTTTCCTTTTGAAGAGTTGCCGTGGCCATAGTGTCTCTTCACAGCAATAAAACTGTAACTAAGACAAATGCTTTTGTTTAAAAAAAAAATGCAGGTATATTAGCTCTACTCCTGGAGGTTCTGATTTATTAGATGTGACTGGGGGCCAGCAATCTGTGATTCTAAAAGCCTGGCAGGTGGGTGGTCTTTACTGACACAAAATAAGAGGTAAGGAAAGATGGAGGGTTTCTTTTTAATTTTTTTCATTCTGGTTTTCTGGTTTACATGCTGTTCTGTGAATACGCACTCCAGTCACCATCGGGAGAGGTTATTTATAAAAATTACAGCTGGGCTTGTTAGGAGAAAGAGCCCCAGGTGACAATAATGACTAACATTGATCAAGGTCTTACTGATGACGCTATTTAGTCCTAACAATGGCTCCGTGACGCAGGCCCCGGTACTTCAAACTTGTTGCGGACTGATAAGGCCAGCTGGTCCAGAGTGACACATTGTGAACACTTGAGAGAGCCCGAGCATCACTCCCGTCCTCCTTTGTTCTGATGACAAGGACGATGGCACTTCCTCTGGCAGTCTGTGGGTCACCTCCCACCGGGGCCTGTGGGACATTTTCTCCTGTGCTTTCCCATCGGCCTATCATCCCTTCCAGAGACTTCTCAGCTACCTGTGTGTTAGGAAGGATTCTATCACTGTGCAAGGTAGACAGGAAAGAAGAAACTGGACAGGCCGGGAGACGTGTTGGCTACTAAAGCCTGCTCTGAGCAATCCTTTGAAAGCATTCTTAATTGGTTTTTCTCCTGGAGAGCACAGTGTTCTGAAGGGGCCTGTGCCATGGTACTTTACAGACATGAAGTCTGCAGGAAACAGCAGAGGGCTCCTGTGACCACTTCCTCATTTCACAGACGACATTCTCTAGTGACTAGGGGGATTCCTGAAAAAAAAAAAAAGAACAAGTCCAAAAAGAAAATAAGATCTTTTTAAAACCAAATGTGGTGTGTAGGTTTTAGGTTGCTTTAAGGACAGCAGGTAAACCCATTTTTTTCATGGTGAGTTTGTGGATCAAACACGGCATGGTCTGTAAAATCTGAATTGCAGGTAACAATGGTGTGTGGTGGGGATGGGGGAAGGTAGGGTGTCCAGAATGATGCACAGAATGTGTGCTTACTAAAAAATTATGTGCTACTCATCTGAAATTCAGGTTTAACTAGGTGTCCTGTGTTTTTATTGGCTAAATATGGCAGTCCTGTTTCGTGAGGAGCGTGCCTTTATTTTCTCTTTAGAGATTGTTTTCCTGCTCTGTGCCATCAGCTTGATGATGATTTGAAGATGCAGAAACCAGAAAATTTACCCAGCTCGTCTCTTTGTGCTAAACATCCTGCACGTGTGCATCCACACCCCACCTTCAATTACACACACACACACACACACACACACACACACACACACACACACACACACACACGCTTACAAACACATGCATGCAGAGGACTTCTAGCATCCCAAAACACGATCCTTCATTCTGTTCCGACTTTCATGGCTTTCCAAAACCAGAAAGTTCCCTCCTGGTCAGTTCCCAGCTACGGTAGGAGAAACGTGTAGCTGCAGCATGGCTTGTCTCCTGAGCTCCATGACTAGGCGCCCAGCCTCGGAGGCTGCCAGGAGGCCTTTACTGCTTGTCTTCCAGTACATTTGATTTTTTTCTTTACTTGCCACCGCACAGAACTGCCCGTCTGAACAGAAAGAGAACAGAAGTTGTTCTGGGGTCAGATAATGAATGCAACTCAGTGACAAGGGAGAGTGAAACACCGTGACTCCCAAGCTAGAGCCAGATAATTAAATGACTCACAAATAGGGGGGGAAAGAAACGTTTGAAGCATTCTGGAGCAATGGTCTGGCGCAGTGGTTAAAGGATTAATTCCTCCCGCCAGGCTACTGGAGCTAACAGCCAAATTTACCTAACCTTAGCTATAAAGTAGAAAGGAGCAATACCCGCTTCAGAGGGTTGTTGGGATAAGTATGTGGATGTATAAAGAGTGCATCTGGCACGTAGTGTAAACTATCATTGCATTTCACTTTCTGGGCTCAGCGGCAGCCTCTCCATGCATATCCTAGTCAGTCGTCAAAACAAGCCTGTGACATTCGTGGACATGTTGGGAGACTTGCCCAAAGCCACGTGGCGAGGAGACAGCAAAACCAAGGTTCGGCCATTTGTCCAACCATTCCCTCAGTTACTCAAGGTTAAGGCCATATAAAGGTGCCGCACACAGGTGTCCTGGTCGCGGCTCTGTAGAGGAGTGATGGCATTCCCGCTGCAACCGCTGATTGGATAGCGGAGCTGGGGGAACGGCAGCTGATTGGATGGCGGAGCTGGGGGGACGGCAGCTGATTGGATGGTGGAGCTGGGGAGAAGGCATCAAGACGGGTTTCGATTGGCTCACTGATGGAAAGGATGGGGCCCTTGGGTAAGCTTCACACCTCACACCAACATCTGCCAGCCAGATGAGGACCTCACGTTCTCGTGTTCTCTCCAAGAAGATCCCCCAGGAGATGTGAAGCCCCAGTCAGGTCTTCTTGACCTCCGGTCTCAGGACTTCCTCCCTTGTTTTCTTTCCATGTATAGTTTCACACTCACCACAGACCATTCTGTCTCTTTAAATCACTTAGAGGTGAATGATCCCCAAACTTACGTCTTAGACAACACCTTTCCCTGGACACTCAAAACTCCCCGCCAGCGTCCGCAGACCTCACAAACCCCAAATGGGACTCTGGCCAAAGAACCTGCTCCATCTTTAGGATCCCTGGCTCAACACGTCCATTCTTCTGGGTGGGCCAATCCAAAGTCATGGAGTTGCCCTTCACCCCTGTTTCCCAGGCCTCTTCTGACAGGCAGTCTGTCCGCTCATCATATTGCTTCTGTCCTCCAAATACATTCTGACGGCTGATCCCTCCCACGCCCTCCTTTTCTCATCTGGACCACTGCAGTAGATTCCCAGTGTCCCCACTTCGGGCCCCGTGCCATAGCCTACTCTTCACACAGCGGTCAGGGGACGCCTATGAAAATAGCGAAAATGACACCAGTCTTCTGTTCAAACTCCTCCAAAGTCTTTCATCTCAGAGAGGCATGTGAGGTTCACAATGGCCTGGAGGACCCCCCCACTCCCCCAGCCTGGTCTGAACGCCCACTCCTTACCTCCCAGCCACACCTGGGCCAGCCCCTGGCCTCCCTACCAGGTCTTTCATAACCGTGTGCCCATATCAAGGATCTTGACTTGCCCTTCTCTCTACTGCGGTCACTGTGACGTCCTCACAACTCACACCCCACTGTTTTTAGCCAACCACCTGTGTAAAACAGAGACCTGCCATCCTCAGTTGGCATTCCCTCTCCTAAACCTGCCTGATTTTTTGCCAGCACTTACCGTTTATCAGAACTTGATGCGATCTCTTCACTTGCTCGCTGTCTCCATCTAGGGAGGGCTATATGGACAGAGATTTGGGCTGTTTTATTGACTGCTACAGCCTCCATGTCTAGAAATTACAGACACGGTAGATGTCCAGTAGGTGTTCAGCAAAGGCATGGAGGTATAGGAGTAGAAGTAAGTGTTCAGTGACTGAATGTGTGAAAAGAACATTCTAGACATCCTTGTGCTGGCTGAACCGAACTCTGTGCTGTTGGCTGCTTCTGCTTCCATAGCATAAAACCAGGCTGCCCTACACTCCTCACCATCCGTGGCATGACCTCTACGATGACCCTAAGCAGATCTTCCCTGGCTGGCTGGGTTTGTGCTTTGTATGTCTGCTGGGCTTGATCTGGTAAAGCCACGTGTAAGTCCCCCTGTGTGTCCTGGCTCCCAGTGAGCCGCTGATTGAAAGTGTGTCTGGGGACGTTATTTCGAAGCCTCTAAACCAGCCAGCGAGTGATGAAAATCTTGTTCAAGTGGAGAAGACACAAGTCTCTTCACCCTGATGCCCACTCCAAATGAGTTCAAAAGGCCAGCCACAATCTTCCACAGTCGCTGTCCTCTCTTGTGGATCCAGTGATTGTGCTTACAAGCCCATGCTGCGAAGAGACCTTCAAATTGGATGCGCTGAGAAGCAAGCTTTCAAAGCCCAGACGACCATCTTCGACTGCATGTAAACAGTCATTGTGAGGGGAGGCGGTTACAGTCAGATACTCTGGAACATCAATTAGGGACCTTCAGACCACACCAAGGCCGGTCAGCCCTCTGCATCAGATTCAACCAACTGCAAATTTAAGCAGCTACAGATTGAAAATACTTTAAAAAAAAATCGTGTTGGTGCAAAACATGTAATGACTTTTCAAAACTATTCCCTAAATGGGGATTGGGGAGATAGAGCTCAGGCAGTTGGTAATGAGCTTGCCATGTAATTGTAAGACTGTGAGTTTGACTCCCGGCACTCACATAAAAAGTTGGGCATGGTAGCACACACTTGTAATCCCAGCACTGAGGAGGCAGAGACAGAGGCATACTCCTGTAGCTCACTGCTGCCAGCCTGGCCTAGTTAGCAATCAGCAAGCCTCAGGTCCCAGTGAGAGATCTTCTCTCAAAACACAGGTTGATGTTTTCTCAGCAATAATACTCTAAGGTTCCCCTTGACCCCCATTAACCATGTATATGTACATACATGCACACCTGTGCTCTCTCTCTCTCTCTCTCTCTCTCTCTCTCTCTCTCTCTCTCTCTCTGTCTCTCTCTCTCTCTCTCTCACACACACACACACACACACAGAAAAAGAGAGAGAGAGAGACATACACACATACATCCGAACACATGTACATACAAAAATGATGCCCTAATACAATAACTATTTGCACAGCATCCACCATAGACTTGCCATTCCATTCCACATTAGTAATCTAGAAATGGCTAAAACATCTAAGGGGCTGGTTGTGGTGACTCATGACTGTAACCCTGACTTTCTTGAAGTGGAGGTAGAAGGAACACAAATTCAAGGCCAGCATGGTCTACATAGTGAAACCATTTATTAAAGAAGACAAAAAAATAGAGTGGGGATTTTTAGCTCAGTGACAGCAAGTCTGCCTAGTATACACAAGGCTCTGGTTTTGATCCTGAGCATCAGTAACTAATAAATAACGACTGCATAGGTAATATGTGAATGCGGCAATGCTTTATGTTAAGAGTCTTGCACACCTGTGAATGTCGGTGTTTGTTTTAGTTACTTTCCTGCTACTGTGGTAACTATCCTAACAAAAGCAGCCTAAGGAAAGGGTTATTTTGGTTCATCATGGTGGGGAAGCCAAGGCAGCGGCAGTTTGAAGCAGCTGGTCACGTGACTTCCATCATTAGGAAGAGGAGAGTGATGAGCTCAAACTCACTCACTGTCTCCTTGTCATGCACTCAAAGACCCCAGCCCAGGGAATGGCGCCACCTACAGTGAGCAGGTCTTTCCACTGTATTTAATCAAGTCAAGATAACCCTCTACAGGCACAGCCAGAGGCCCATCTTCCTGGTAATTCTGGATCTAATCAAGGTGATAATTGATATTGACTGTCACTCTCTCCTACTCTGGCTAGTCCTGGAGCCACACCCCATAACTACTGAGGGGCAGCTGTGCTCAGCCTCTCCGTGTAGAATTCCCTTCTCCATCAATTAACAAGCCTGTTAGAACAAAGCCTTGCTGATGCAGTTGGGAGGTGCCGTCGGATCCTCTGGTGGCTGCAGCATCTCCTAAAAATTAAAGCGAAGCTTCTAGACCCCCGGAGTGAACGTTGAACATTCATCCCACAGTTCAAAAACCAGGACAGATAATATAGCTGCTTCTTTTGCTGAAAGGATCTAAGGTATATCCAGATGAGTCAGGTACATACAAACGAAGGATCAGGTACATACAAATGATATAGTACATACAGAGGAAACAGGTACAGACAGAGGAAGCAGGTGCATACAAATGATACAGGTACATACAAAGGATGCAGGTACATATGAAGGATGCAGGTACATACAAAGGATGCAGGTACATACGAAGGATGCAGGCACATACAGAGGATGTTGGCATATACAAAGGATGCAGGTACATATGAAGGATGCAGGTACATACAAAGGATGCAAGTACAGACAGAGAATGTAGAGCATCAAATGATGAACTAGGGCTCTTCTCTAGCACTACTATCAGCAAAACTGTCACCAGGCCAGAGTCCCTAATGGGGTCCAAGTTCCAGGATGCATGTAATGCCCGCATACAGGACACAGTTCCCAGTGGAAGTGCTTAGGTCTCCTTCCTGACACAAACCAGCAATGGCGTCTTTAGTGTTGTGGAACATACGTGTTTGCATGTGTGCACCGCCTTTCCTTTGTCATCCATTTTACATTGCTCTTTCACATGCCACTAACATGCTTGTTTATTCTGCACGTGTGGAATGGGTGTATGGTGCATGTGTGTGTGTGTGCACATGTGTGTATGTGCCCTGTTTGTTAATTATTTCTTCTACTCTATTCCTTTGAGGCGGGATCTCTCACTGAACGGGAAACTCACTGTTTTGGCCAGGCTGGCTCACCGGCTCCCTGGATCTGCTTGTCTCTGTCCCCCAACGCTAACGTCACAAGAACTTGAGGCAATGCCAAAGTTCTTGTTTATATAGATGGGAGAGATTTGAACTCAGGTCCACAAGCTTGCACAGCAAGTGCTCTTACCCACTGACCATCTCCCAGACCCAACTCTAATGATATCAGAAGAAGTCAGTGATTAGAAGACATGCCCAGGTTATAAGTTTAAGCTGTAAAATTGAACGAGAAAAATCGTGTGCCTTAGAATGACTGGTGTGTGTGTATGTGTGCGTGTGTACACACACAAGGAGAAAGAAAATGGCTGAATTTAAAACAAGAGTCATGTGGATGGCTTAGAGAAGTGTTAATATTTAATACTTTCATCATTTCTAAGGCATAAAAATAACTATTATATTATTTTTAAATCGACCGAAGGCGATTTAATTGAATTTTTAAAATTTTCAGCTGTGTGAGATTGTTTCTATTTCTACTCTAGTGAGCATGCCCAGCTTCCTCTAACATGGAAAGGAACTATGTAATTGCTCTTGCCCCTTACCCTTCCTGAAAGGGCCGAGCCATGGTCCATGGCGCTGCCTCGACAGGGGACAAGTGACTAAGTAGTGCGGTTAACTGGCTGTCATTGTAAGGTCACTCATTTGCTCCTGAGTTCTCTCGCTCTCCCATAATTCCCCGCACGCCTCTCTGGCCAGTGGTGAATTTGTGATATACGGCTAATTTCTCATTTGCAGACCCTAAAAACCAGAACCAGAATGATTTCTAAGAAACTAGTACGTTTTAACACTTTGCTCTACAGTAACCCCACTTTTACTTTAAAGGTGTAGGAATCAGTTGGAAAAAAAATATTCTATTAACTCCCCGTTTGTGGAGCGTTTACTACCTACCAGGAGGTGTGGTGATGGTCACTGTTTTCGGGACAGGCAGGTCGGGATGTGGCTGATTCACAGGCAGGAGCGATTGTCTGAGTCCTGGATGGGCGGTTCCATACAGACAGAAAGTAGAGCAGCGATTGCCAGGGGCTAGAATGATGGAGGATGGAGTATTATGGGAATCTATCAGCAGTTGTCCAAGGTTATCAGTTTGTTGTAATGCTGGTTACACAACCCAAACAAACGAAACAACAACAACAACCCCAAAAAAAACCACACTGAATTTTGCACTTTGAAGGATGAGTTGCAGAGAATGTGGGGGCCATCTCAATAAATCTGCAAGAGACAAAAGACCCTTTGGTCATTCATTTGCAGTTTCCAAGTCTGTCGATGGGCATAGTGCCTTTAAGGATTAAATAAGCTGCTGTGTGGGATCTGTTATGACTTACAGCGTTTCGGAGAAACAGCCCATCACGTGTGGGGGGAAGGCATGCTGGCTGGTAGTCTCAGGGCAGGGGAAGTTTGCAGCAGCTGGCTGCTATGTGGGAATGATGAAGAAGCAGAGGTTGGTTGGGTCAGAAACAGGGCCAGGCTAAAAGCCTTCTGAGCAACCCACTCCTTCTGGTTAGGCCCCATCTCCTAAAACAGTGGTTCTCAACCTTCCTAATGCTGCCATCCTTTAACACAGTCCCTCATGCTGGGTGATCTCTCTACCATAAGATTATTTTCTTGCTACTTCATAGCTATGATTTTGCTACTGTTATGAACCATAATGTAAACAGATGCTTGCAGGGTATCTGATGTGTGACCCTCGTGAAAGGGTCATTCGACGACCCCCACCCCCACCCCAGGGGTTGCGACCCAGAGGTTGAGAGACACAGCCCTAAAGACTCCAGCTCCTTCAAAATCAGCACCCCTAGCTGGGGGGCCTTGTGTTTAAATGCATGGACGCATGGGCAGCATTTTGCATTTTGACCATAGTGAATACATCTGTCTCCAGAATTCTAGGGCTTTCTCTTTGGCTGTGGGTTCACTGCATGATTCGTGCGAGAAAAACCAGGAGGTGAGAAGACTGTGCGCCTGAGTTAGACAGGTGTGGGTTTTCTTTTCCTCGGACACACTGAATTCTTTCCTATCTTCAGGTCACTGCGTTTGTTCACCTTTCACTTGGAACATTCCGCCCCAATATCTCTACTCATCATTCAAGTTGCAGCGTAAATGCCAGAGGCCCTCCCTGATCACCGGCCCCCAGAGAAGGTGTCCCAGCATGTCCGCCTGTGCATGCTCTTTTTAGCATTCATCTGCTGTTTTTAAACACTTTTGGCTTATGATTTGTACTTTGCTCTTTCCAAACAATTGTAAATGCCATCAATATCAGGACTTGGTTTGTCGTGTTTACAGCTAGAACCCTGAAGCCCTGACGAGTGGCTGATACATGTAATCACTACGTGTCCGGTATTGTCTAACTCCTGCACGGTTCTTACAACATAATTGCTATTGTTGTTGCCATTTTACAATGAGAAAATAACAGCCGGGAGAACCCAGTGACTTGGCCCCGGCTACTCAGCTGGTGCCAGGATTCAAAACCTAAGGCAGCCCAACGCCAAAGCCTGAGTTGTTACTGTTGTTGTGTGTGATGCTGGGACAGAACCTAGGGCCTTATTCATGCGAGCGCTCTGCCACTGAGCTATATCCCCCAGCCTCAGACCTGAAGTTCTTAACAGCGACAGTACGCTGATCATAATAACCGCTCAAAGAAATAGTTGTGGACAATTGAACAAGTGGACACCTCTAGTCATTCCATTGAACCTCTCCATTGCATTTAGCACTGCTGACTGTCCATGCCCCTCTCTATCCCCCCCCCCACGTGCTCCGCTCTCCGCTTCCTCTCTCCTCTTCTGTTAGTACCTCATTCTCCCAGGCTTCCACTCTGTGTCCACTGTTCTGACTCCAAGCTGCTCTTGGGTGATTCTGTCCAGTGTTACCATTGAAACAAAGCAGTACACTGATCAATCCCAGATCTACCATGAAATTCACGCATTAGCTTTCCTGGAAAACAGAACCTAGATATTCTTGATTTCCTGATGTCCCCACTCGAGGATCTGTTAAACATCCCCAAGCCAACAGCACGGAGCAGGCTTAGTGTACTGTGTGTGATCAGGTGGGTCCCATGCTGGCAACGGTACCATGTCCTCTTCCAGAAACAGAGATATGCTCCTTGTCGTGGATCTTTGCCTCTGTCAGGACCACATTTACCTAGAGCCTAAGGCCAATAGTCTGGTGGTCCTGTTGAGTTTTTAGCCCCCTCCTTGTAGCCAATCAGTGATGAAGGCCCATGGATTCTGCATCTTAGATAATTCTCCAGTCCTTCCTTGCTTCTCCCTCTCCCAGCAGGGACTTTGAGACTCTTTCAGAGTCATATCAGGGCTTCTTAAACTTCCCACTCATGGCCCCTTTCTGCCTGAGAAATGTTTAAGAGCCCTGAGTATATAGTTTATAAAATGGGCATGCAAACCAAACATTTACTGAAAAATAAATCAACTCATAACAAAAACAATTCTTGGCATATCTATAATTTTACAGATCATCAAAGCGTACAGCAAATTTGCATACTAATGAGGCAGACGTGTGTCTTGGTTTGGTTTCCTGTTTTGTGATAAAATACCCGGATGAACACACCCGAAGGGGGCAATGAGCTGCTAAGCCTACTGATCTGGGCCCCACATGGCAGAAGGAGAGATCATGTCACCTAACAAGTTGTCCTCTGACCTCTACATGTGCACCGTGGCACACGCATACCCACATACACAAACACGCATGCCCACAGAACAATCAGTTAAGTGTAATTTGTCAGCACCTTAAAAGAGAAAGGATCTATTTAGCTCACAGGTCCATGGTGTTGCCCATCACGGTGGGGCAGTCACAGCAGAGGAGCTTGGCCCAGCTTGTCACATGGGTGCAGTCAGAAAAGCAGTGAGCACTCAGCTTGACTCCCTTGCCCTTACACAGCCCACAGTTTCCTGCCTAGGGAATTGGGCCACCCACAGTAGGCAGGTCTTCCTATTTTTTATTAAAATTGAGAAAATCCCCCACAGATACAGCCAGAGGCCTGCCTACCAGACTCTAGAATATATCAAGTTGACAATTAAGACTGCCACAATGAGCTTTTCTACTTTTACATAAATTTGTGGTGATATTGTGTTCCCCAAAATATTGTGCACCCTAATAAACTTATCTGGGGTCAGAGAACAGAACAGTCACTAGATACAGAGGCAGAAAATGGTGGCACACACACACCTTTAATCCTAGCTTTCCAGATGCAGAGATCCGCCTGGATCTCTGTGAGTTCAAGGCCACGCTGGAAACAGCCAGGCATGGTGACTCATGCCTTTAATCCTGCTAGTGATGGCAGAAAGCAGAAAGGTATGTAAGGTGTGAGGACCAGGAACTAGGCTGGTTAAGCTTGTAAGCTTTTAGCAGCAGTTCAGCTGAGATCGATTTGGACAAGGACACAGAAGATTCCAGTCTGAGGAAACAGGATCAGCTGAGGAACTGGCGAGGTGAGGAAGCTGTGGCTTGTTCTGCTTCTCTGATCTTCCAGCTTTAACCCAATACCTGGCCTCATGTTTGATTTTATTAATAAGACCTGTTAAGATTCATGCTACATAATTAAGTCTTAGACGAAGAGTTGATCCTTCAGGACATAGAACACCTTCAACATTTTTCAGGGTTGATTAATTGTTTGACTGTATAACTGTGGATGCTGAGGGACTGTAGCTTCATATAAACATGTAGTACAGCAGCAAAAGTAAGCTGAAGGCCATTGAAATGTAATTGCTAAAAAGTCTGTCCTAGTCTCAAGCCAAAATTCACTTAAAGTTTTTATGATACTCGTGTGAGCAACTCCAACAGCCATTTTTTAAATTAAATGTTCTAACAGAGTCCACATATACACTGAATTAGTACATGCCGAGGAAGGATGATAGGGACACAGTGAGTCTTTGCTTCCTATCGTTAAACCGCCATATTTCTGTAGCAGAGAAGTTTGTGTATGTAATAAAACACTGCAACTCATAGCACACTGCAGCGTTGCCTCGGGGCTGAGGTGTTCCGTGCAGTGTCTGATGGCGTCGTGTGGTGCAGCGTGCATCTGCATTCAGAAGCCGGGCTGCAGCAAAGTCACGCAATGCACCACAGATGAGCTCTCCCGGGAACAGCTCAGATTCACTAGACGGGTTTGGAACTCATTTTTGATGGCTGCACACTCAGGAACCTTTCACTGCTTGCAATGTTTTACAAGCGTCCCAGCGTCTCTACTGTCTCTGCTCCTGCTCCCACAGAGCTGTTCTCTGAAAGCTACCAGCAAGAACATCACCACAGCATTACATGTTGAGCATCACAAATTCAAATGCCCACAATCGAACATGCTCCAAAACTAAACTTTTCAAATAGTGACATGATGTTGTAAGTAGAAAATTCCATTTTTTTTTTTTTTTACCTCAGGCAACAGGCTTTAATCAAAATGCAAGTGCACTAAACGTATCGTATAAGGTGGACCTGGGAGACAGCTCAGCAGGTGAAGACACTTGCCACCAAGCTGACCGACCCCCTTAGCAGCATCCCTGAGACTGTCATGCTGGAAGGGGAGAAGTGACTGTCCTCAAGTTGTCCTCTGATCTCCACATGCACGCCATGGCACGGGTACATCCACCCACCCACCTACCTATACATACACAAATTAATTAACTAGTCAGTGTAATTGAATTTTTAATTATATAAGGTTACCTACAAATGGATGTATAAGGTGTGTATGATAAGTGAATTTCATATTCCACATGAATTCCATATTTCTTATTCTATCCCCAAGACAGTTTATTACATGTGTGCAAACACTTTAAGCATCTTCAAAACATCAGAAAGTTACCATTATCAGTAACTTTAATGCCTTTAATCCCAGCACCCAGAAGGCAGAGGCAGTCTCTATGAGACTAAGGCCAGCCTGGTCTACATAGTGAGTTCTAGGCCAACTGAGGCTTTAGAAAAACCCAAACACATCTAGTCCCAAATATTTCAGTAAGAAATATTCAATCTGTATCAATTTGTTTGCTCTATTTTAACACCTGTCAGCAATTCCATCCTTCATTA